TGAATTGTATGAAGATTTGCCAGACGAAACTCACGAAGTCAATGTTACTTCTCATCAACACATATGGCAATTATACTTTGATGGCGCTTCCCGTGCGACCAACACGGCAAGTGCTCCCGGTAGTTCTAGAATCTCCGTAGGAGTCGGAGTCGTCCTAGTTTCCCCGGAGAAGCACGTGATACCCCGAGCCAACTCATTGATAGGAAAATGTTCCAACAACGTAGCCGAATACAACATGCTGCTTATCGGGCTCAGTTTCACCAAAGAGCTGGGGGTCGAATATCTTGAAGCTTTTGGTGATTCTCAACTGATAGTTAACCAAATTCGAGGAGAGTACGAAGTTAGGAATTTAGACTTGATACCATACCACAAGGTGGCCACCGAAATGGAAAGTTCGTTTGAAGAATTCTTCATTGAATACATTCCGCGTCTCTAAAATACAAACACAGATGCGTTGGTAGCATTAGCAGTATCTTTGGCATAACCCCCGACACAGAACAATGTGTCACTATCAGAACTCATCAGCTCTTTGTACCAGAATGCGCTTTGGATATCAAAGAGGTGCACACGGCCAAAATTGAACTCGAACCTTGAGATTGGCGATACCCTATTATTGACTACGTCATGCATGGAATTTACCGTAAAAAATAAAAGAAAGAGACTCGGTTCGACGAAGGGCACCGAGATTCTATTACATATCAACAACCCAAACGTTGTATCGTCGTGCATACGATGGGTTACTACTTTGATGCCTCTCAACCAAAGAAACAGAAGAAGCTCTCAAAGAAGCTCATGATGGAACATGTGGTGCACATCAACCTGGTCCCAAGCTTTGTGATCGTATCAGAAGAATGTCATATTATTGGTCAATCATGGTCAAGGATACGGTTGACTACGCCTGACGGTGTCATGCGTGTCAAATACATGCAAATTACAAGCAACAACCCCGGAACACCTACACCCGTCAGCCGCTTCATGGCCATTTGAGGCATGGGGAATGGATATTGTCTTCTCACCGTCAGTCAAAAGTGATCGTTTCATTTTAGCAATCACTGATTATTTTTCAAAGTAGGCTGAAGCAATGCTGCTAAGAGAAGTGAAGACTAGCGACGTCGTTAAGTTTATTAAACACCATACCATCTACCGATATGGAGTTCCGAGACGAATCACACACGAAAATGGCCCTCAGTTTGTGAGTAACGCCTTCATCAAATTTTACGGGAAGTTTAGAATTAAAGATGTCTCGTCACATCATATAATCCCATAGCAAATGGATTGGCTGAGGCATTCAACAAGACTATCATAAAGATTTTGTCAAAACTCGTGAGAACCAACAAGTGAGATAGGGATGACAAACTTGGCGAAGCCCTTTGGACCTATCGTACCATAGTTCGCACGCCTACTGGAGTGACCCCATATTCTTTGGTATATGGATGCGAGGTTGTTCTTCCCTTGAAAATTCAAATTCCATCCCTATGTATTACTATCACAACAGGGATGACGACGGAGGAACAATATAAGAAACATCTCGAAGAACTTGAGATGTTGGATGAAAGGTGTTTGCAAGCTTAGCAGCAGATCGAGTTTTACCAAGTCAGAATTTCTCATGCTTTTGACAAAAAAGTTAAGCAAAGAAGCTTCAAGGAAGGAGACTTGGTTCTCACCGTCCGGCGGCCAATGATACTTAACTCCAAGAAGAAAAGTAAGTTTTAATCCAAATGAGAAGGACCATTTGTGATAGAGACAGTCTACTCCAATGGTGCATACCGTTTAGTCATCCAAGACGGTGACAAGATCATGATGCAAATAAATAAGAAATTCCTAAAAAAGTACTATCCTTAGTACGCTCAGGATAACTTGCTAAAACAGGAAGTTCCCGGAGAATGCTGTACATGGTGTTCTTAAGGATAACTCGAGATCAGCTGGATTGGCCATAATATTCCCTCACGAAACTCCCACTGTTGTTGACGATTTATACTCTTCAAACACAAAATCCCTCACTGATCAAATTAATTGATAGTGGGTCCACTAAAATTCTCCCTGGTTTACTCCATTCAAACTCACATTATGTCTGTGTACTCAACACTCCCATTATTAGAGTCAGGACATAATGATTAGAATTTTAATTTGCTAATCCTTGACGGTTGTCAAACTCCTTAATGTTAAGTTCTTATCATTTGATACCAAGAATCCCCACTGAGTGATTAGTACAAATCAATACTCCCACTGTGTTTCTTTTTTTTACTCCCACTCCCACTCGGTCAAACCTTCCTACAGTTAGGGCCACAACCAAAGTCCCCTCCCGATTCCTTTCATGAATGAGAGGTTCACTTTGAAATTAAGCGATCAAACCTATAAAAGTTATGATTGTCTTAAACCCCCACTCGGTCAAACCTGTATACAGTTAGGGCCGAAATCACATTTCCCTTTTGATAAACAAAAGGCTTTCACTCCTTCCCTTTCGGTCAAACCTATAAATATTAAGACTGAAGTCGTAATTTTATTTTTAGATCAGGTAACCAATCCTATAAAAGTTAGGGTTATCTATATCTTTTTGATTCTCGCAGTGGAGATCCCACTCTTAGTTTTACCTTCACGGATTCTTGAAGTAGATATCTCACTTTGAGTTTCCTTTGTAACTGGAGATAGAATATAAAATTTTTTCTCTTTAGCTTTGGAGATAGAATATAAAATTCTTCTTCTCCAGCATCGGGTTCGTCTTTACCCTAAGAGAAGACACCATCTATTAACTTCATAATTCGTGCCCTACACGCGCGAGGAATTTTATCCCGAATCCTAAGAAGGGATAAATCAACACCTAACAAGCACTACAACAAAAAAGCTAATCCGCGAGGAACAAGTTTGTCGTTGAAAGTCGAGATTTCCTCGTCGTAGTGTGTTGGCGAGGAAAAAACTTTGGTCACCATTTCATCGCGGTAGGGTGGTCAAGAAAAGTTTCTGCGAGGAATATTATAATTTCTCACGAAATCCTTTTTGCGATGAATATATTCTTTTCTCGTTGTTACTCTTTAGCCTCGATATTTTTCCTCACTTAATCTCATACCTTTTTCATCGCTAAACTACAGTTTCCTCGCTAATAATACGTGAATAATATTTAATTTATATATAATAAAAGTTCTAAAAAACTATTTTCGTCATTGTAAGTATCTTTCAGTGAGGAAACTATTCCTCACCAAAGGTAAATATTTAACGAGGAAATTGATTTTCTTCATTATATGTATCTTTTTCTCGTGGAAACAGTTTCTCAGTAAAGGGACTCAAAGACGAGGAAATTTAAATTTGTCATTATAGGTTGTACCCCATATTCCTCGCCAAATAAATTCAATTACGAGAAAATTTACATTTGTCGATATAGTTTATAGCGAGGAAAATTACTTTCGTCGTTATAGGTTGTATCACTATAACAAGGAAATATGTTTTTGTCGACGTAAGCAGTATACTCTATAATGAGGAAATATTCTTTTGACGGCGTAAGTATGTAACCTATAGGGAGGAATATTACTTTCGTCGTTGTAGGTTATAGCGCTATAGCGAGGAAATATGTTTTTGACGACGTAAGTTATATACTCTATAACGAGGGTATATACATTTGACGACGTAAGTATGTAACCTATTGCGATGAAACATACTTGCGTCACCTTAAGTTGTATTGTCTATTTCGAGGAAATTTACTTCCATTGACCTAATAGCGAGAAAACTTATAATGAGAAAATTTCATTTCATTAATAATAATGATATTACGAGAAAAACAGTCAAAATATAAATAATTGTCATCAATTGTCACCACAGTACATCAAAACAATTAAAATAAATAAAGAGCAAGTTTCTACCATAAGTAACAATGCTAGTCTAAAGCAATAACAAATGCAACACGATCAAAGAAACATTTCTCCAAGTTTAAGTTCACTAAGAATACTAAGCTGATGGATGTTGCCTGGAAAAATTAGCCATAAACTCCTCAAACTTTTTGGCTTGCTCCTCCAATCTTTGGATTACCTCATTTTCAACATCGATCTTTTGTTGTTGAGTTCCTACAAGTTGCTGGGTTTCTTGAATCTGTTCTTGCAACTCTTTATTCTTTTCAGACATTTCACTCATCGAAGAACGAGAGAACCTTAATTGTGGTGGTCTAGGGCCAAAACCACAACCCTTAATGTAGCTTGATTTGACTTTGAGAACTTTTGCACAAATTTCCTCATCTGTCATTGTTCGAGTTCCATCAGGTTGAGTGGTATCTGCTTGCATCTTTATCATTTGTTCCTATAAGTAAAACAATATATTCAGTTCAATCATATGCAACTTCTTAATTACAACCTAATCAATTTAATCCTCTTTAGAACAGTAATATCAGTTTCACCTATATTCTTAAAATATTATAAAAGCATGCATCATTGACACGTTACTTACCCATTTTTCCTTTGCTCCCAAGTCCCATCCTTTTTTTGTGCTTCTATACTCTGTTTCCCATTTTTCCTTTGCTCCCAAGTCCCATCCTTTTTTTGTGCTTCTATACTCTGTTTCAAAACGATCAATCGCACCTTGCATCTCTCCAGTCTGTGCTGCCTATTGCATTCAAACATATTTTTTTTGTCAGCATATATATATGTACACAATTAAGTTACAAATTTATAAGCAAAACTAAAAAGTATCTTACAATTTGCTCTTGGTGTGACATAAATGATTTTGACCCAGTTTTGTGGTGATATGTCAACTTTGACCTATTAAGAACATTCTTCTCTTAGCGAATCTAAAATTATTAAGACATACCATTAGAAAGAAGTAAAAGAAAAAAGAAAAAATGTAATGCGTGGAGAAAAATAAAAAAAAGATATTGTACCTTAAACTTTTCACTAGAAAAATGAGAAAAAAAAAGATATTGTACCTTAAACTTTTCACTAGAAAAATGAGTGCAAAGAAACTTTCATTCTTCCTGAGTCTTGACAGCTTCATGTTTGTTTTTAATCACTAGAAAAATGAGTGCAAAGAAACTTTCATTCTTCCTGAGTCTTGACAGCTTCATGTTTGTTTTTAATTGCCTCCTCAATTGTTGAAAACTACTCAAAATATTTCTTCAACTTATAGCTTCATGTTTGTTTTTAATTGTCTCCTCAATTGTTGAAAACTACTCAAAATATTTCTTCAACTTAAAGCGAAAATTACAATATACGGTCTGACATGTTGTAATTACATATCTCTGGACCCAAGGGAGCGACATGTCAAATTCAAACTTACTCTGCACATGCATAATTTCATGTCAAACTAAATATAACAAATCAAAGCAACCAATATAATGCCTTTACCAAAACAAATCATCACTAACCTGCATTCTTTTGATAAAGTTCTCCACATCTGTTTTTTCAATCTTCTTCCATTTTTCCACATTCAGTGGGGCGTAGTTTCGAATTGTGTAACCAATTTCATTTGCAAACATCTCAACATAAGGGTCTGTAGGACTGCCATTTTCTTCAGTCAGAGTCACAGGTATTTTAGAATTCAATTGGGAGAACACCTTATCTGCATTCACTCCTCTTGTCTTCCCTCGCACCTTTTTGGTTGTACCTTTGACATAATTTTTATTAAGAACATAACACATACGTATATTTAATTCTTAAAATATATGTATATAATGTTTTGTATACCTGGAGGAGGCTCCTGATTGATATCTAACATCACATTATCATCTCGCTCTTCAGCTATGGTGTTTACCACTAGCTGATCATTAGCACTTTGTTGCTGAATACGTACACTAACTCTAATCCCTGTCATTCGAGTTTGTAGTTTAGGTATACCCTTGTAATTTGCAATTGATGAAAATAAAATTCAATTCAGATTCTCTATGCCTTTTAGAGGAAAATAATTCAATTCAGCTCAATTCAACTAAAATCAGCTCAATTCAACACCACGTACCAGTAGTAGTTCGTACTGTGGTGACAACAGTACTACTAGAATTCAGTCTATCTGCTACAGAATTTTGGCATGCTTGATTGGAAGTTCGCAGGCGAGTATGTTTTGTACCTATTTGCATACACACTTGTTAGATAAGTAAAAACTAATGATACTTAAATATTGTAGCAGTAAAATGAACCTTCGATATTTACTCAGATTAGAACCGGATCCATTCCCGACAGAATTCACGTATGACAGATCACTAGTTGCTGCATGAGAATGTTTCTTTTTCAATAATTCTGCATGTGATTGATTACTTGGTGCATTACCTGTTGTTACATAAACGTTAAATTGATAATAATATTCTAATCAACCAAGTGAATGAATCATGAATTATAAGAGAAATATGCACTACTTACCAGAAGTAGAACTCTAAACTATAGGCGCTTTGTTACGGTACATCTTCTCACTGTTTATTGTCAAACAATTAGAGTGGTCGAAATACAAAAGAATGAAACATTCATCTAATTGAATCTCAAGATGAATAAACAATACAATAAGTGATTCTATGCAATACATGCAATACACAGATTCTAATCATTATCAAATAGTGGTAATATTACTTATACAAGTAAAAACAAAACTATAACTTTCTAATAGAGGAAACAAGACCTAGAAATCATTCTAAAAATCCCAGAAAGACACACTTATATAGGGAAATATGATCGGGAAAATAACCAATTTGGAGGGAAACACTAGTGATAAATTCATGCAAAGGAACCATTGACCGCGCATCAAGTAACATTGGACAAAAAGCTAAGCATTTCATCACTACAGTGATGCAAATTTGTCAGAGCAGAATATTTTCCTTATTTAAGAGGGGGAAAATCGGTACTATAAATTTAATAAATAGATGGTTGATAGCCATGAAAGATTCGGTTCCGAAAACCGAAAACATATATGTAAAACTATGTCCTCAACTTCCAGGTAGTGTTTTTCACACTAGTCGAAATCGGAACTCCCAAATAAAATCCTCACAGACAAATAGCAGCAAGCTGTTACTAATCCTGAGCTTGGACCAGTACTCTAACTCAAAAAGAATATTCTTTCTAGTCAAATTTAAAAAGAATACTCACGAGGCTCACGGTGTTGCTTAAATCAGGATTGTCAGGATGTTTCCCAGGCCTAGCTTTATAAACACGATCTAATTGCCGCAATATGTCATCCCTAAAAAATAATCTGGGAGGAGGACGATCTTCAACTAAACCATTAAAATCTTTACTCCGTCTCCACTCATGATCCTCAGGCAAATTTCGTCGAGCTCCCATAAAACAATTTTCCTCTCAACCTCTCTGAAATTACATCTTCGTTACAAACAGGACAAGCTTTGTACCCTTTTGTACTCCACCCAGATAAATTTTCGTAAGCAGGAAAATCATTTATAGTCCACAATACACATGCCCGCAAATTAAAATTTCTCCTAACAGAGGCATCAAAAGTTTCAACTCTAATCTCCCACAATTCTTTTAATTCGTCTATTAATGGACGAAGATACACATCAATGTCTTTCCCAGGTGCTCGAGGACCAGGTATGAGTAATGACATCATTGAATACACTCCTTTCATGCATTTCCAAGGAGGCAGATTGTACGACACTAGCATAACTGGCCACATACTATAACTAGTGCCCATGTTTCCAAATGGATTAAAACCATCTGTAGCAAGCCCCAACCTCACATTTCGACAATCTGCAGCAAAGTCAGGATACTCCTGATCAAAGTGTTTCCACTCGGCAGAATCAGCTGGATGTCGTAAGAAACCCTCTTCATTTTGTCTTCTTCTTTTATGCCATTTCATTTCAGTCGCTGTATGTTTCGACATATACAACCTCCGAAGTCTCGGCTTTAATGGAAAATAACGCAAGACTTTTTGTGGAAGTTTCTTGTGTTTTCCATTACAAGACTTGTATCTCGGCTCCTTGTACACTGGACGACATTCATCCAGTTTCTTATTCTCTTTCCCATAAAACAGTGCACAGTCATACTTGCATGCATGTATGGATTCATACCCCAAACCCAATTCCAGCAACATATTTTTGGCTTCATAGTTCGATGTTGGTATGGATGCACCTTTTGGATACGAGTCATTTAACAATTTCAGTAGATTTTTAAAACTTTTATTGCTCCAACAACCATCTACCTTGATTTGCATTAATTTTATAATAAAAGATAATGCAAAGAACTTTGTACAACCCGGGTACAGCTCTCGTTGAGCTTCATTAAACAAATAATCATATTTGTTAACATGAATATCGTTCTCATCATCTGTCTCCATACTTATAGCCCCTTGGACATCATTTAACATGTCCAACATCGCAGCATTGTCATCATCATCATCCTCGCTGTCACTTTCAAAATCCTCATACATTTGGTCGTCTGCGACATCAGCAAAATCTTCCCCGTGCTCAGTCAATGTCGTGTAATGTTGTGCAAATCTATTTACAAGTATATGTCTGCGTATCTTGGGAGAGAAAGACACGGCAAGACATTTTGACATTTAACACAGGGGCAACGCGTCTTATTTTCATGATCTAGGTGTTGTTTCGCAGCATCCAAAAATATTTTTAAACCATTGGTGAAGTCAGGGTTGTGAAACCTATCTCTAACAAACATCCAGCTTTTGTCCATCCTGTACCTATCATAAAAAACAAGGGGTTCCCCCAATTATTTACTTAACATTAGCAATTCAAAGTTAAGAAAGATATGAGGATTAACCCAAACAAGGGAATTTTCATACAACATGTCCTAGCAACTTAATAACTGAATAAAGAAAAAAGACAACTACATACTATATGGAATTAAATTTCAATAGTTTGTACACAAAAAACAAATTAAGCCATCCGAAAATACGCTTTCAGCCATACCAGAAAATGCTTTTGCTTTCTCTGCTGATGCTACAACCAAACTCACACATAGATCCTTCACAGTCTCTGGTTGAATGATGTCCGCTAGAGGAGACCTTCAAAATGAACAAAAATAGATTTGCTTTCCTGATCAACCAGATAATTCCAAGCTACATGAAAGATAAAACAATGGTACAGCTTCATAATATCATTTGAAGATAGACTTATACCCGTATGTGAGTTTAGATTGCGAGGAATGAATAATTACACAGGCTACTGGTATACCAGTGAACGAAGAACTAAGTTGAGCTCCAGTTAGATGATTAGCCTGACCAATACACCATCAGCAACAATGAAAAATATATAGATATTTCAAAGTAGCAAATATGAAGCATTTGTCAATTGGGTTGATAGAAAAGCCCATTGTCAGTGAACTAGGATTTGAAGTCCTGCATGTTAGGTAAAAGAGTAATCCCACGATATAATAAATGAAAAATTATAATAATGAACACTAAATGTTTCAGAGCACAGAAAGTGGTGACAAGATAAAAAATTATAATATATACCTGTGATGCTTGTCCAAGGATCCAAGACTGCCCACACTTGAAACTAAGTAAACATTACTCTCAAGTCTCAAACCATCTATTAATCAATAGAAAATTATGCTTCATATTAGGTGGATTACCTGAACTGCTTTGCTAAAATTCTAGGCAGAAATTTTTTCTAGGCAGAAACCAGGATGCACATGACTCTTCGGAATTCTCCATCAGGCATTTCACTTGGATAAATCTTGCATTGGTCCTATACTGACCTATGTGGATACCACCAATTTTTTATACTTAGTGCGAAAGTCGTTATTGGTGTTCAAGCTTTTTGGTTGACAGAGTTTCAAGACGCATCAACCCAAAAGAACATTCAACTTTTAACTTCAGAAAAGATTAATATATTCATTTCATTATAGGGTAGTAGATTTATGACAAGAAAAATGAAGATCTGACCTATTTACTATTTTTTCACCAAGTAAGAGCAGCATGCTTCCATCTAGAATAATCAATCTCCTTATACATATTTTGAAGAAAATGAAATATGCATGCAATAAAATGTCAGTAGCCAATATGACCAAAATTACAACAAAGGCAGTACTTTTACAGCCCAATTGATTCCTAACAACTTTGAATTCTTCTCTACCAATACATGTGCATTCGGACAAATTTGTTGACCCCACATACTCTCTAACTATTGTTATGCTAAATAGCCAGGGACTATGACATGTATATACAGGATTGCCCGATTGGATTGAACTGACATGATTCAAAGAACTTTTGAGAAGAAAAATTTATGAGCTCAAGAATTAATGATTGGTCAGGATCCATCCAATTTGTAAAAATTAAATAAAAACTAAATACAAATTAGGGCTTCGTTAACAAAGTTAAATAAAAATTTGTAAAATAGAAAAAAAGGAAAAATTGAAACCCTAGAGTTTGATGATTGAAAAGGAGAGAGATAAGTACCCAATCACTGGATGCTAGAGAGGGGATGGCCTTGAAGTCGACTAACAAGTGGTTGTCTGTCAGGGATGGAGTCTGGAACCTGTCAATAGAGCTGAAGAACATGGACTGATTTGCAAGCTATGGACTGATACGCAAGTGAAGGTCTGTTATGCAAGTCCTTAGAAGTTTGGAGGGGCTATTAGAAAGTATTAATGTCCAGCTCAGCAGCTCTGCAACAATATTAACTGTTTCCCAACTGGAGGGGCTATTAGAAAGTATTAATGTCCAGCTCAGCAGCTCTGCAACAATATTAACTGTTTCCCAACTGTTTTCCAATTTCTGTTTTTGCTGTTAGTGTGTGCACGTGCACAGACAGTGCTTGTTTCCTGTCGATTGTGCTTTTGAGAAGAGAATTATGTTTCTGTATAAATGAGAAGTTGTAACAGGGAATCAGATCATGAATGAAATCTGAAGTTTTCTCTTCTTCCTAAACTCAATCTCAGTTCTCTCTCTCTTCCTAAACTCAATCTCAGTTCTCTCTTTGTTCTCCTTCTCCCTCAATTTTCTCTCAACTTTCTCTTGCAAATTCTTCTCAACCTTGTTTCAGGCTCATCATGGCCAGAAACAGCAGCACCAGATTCGACAGAGGATTCGGATCCTCACAATTGGTATCAGAGCATGATCGATCCCTGTCAAAGCTTGATCGATCCCTGTCCGAGCTTGATAGATCCCAATATCAATTGCGTCAGTCCCAAGATCAATTGATTACACAAATGGATGAGCTGATGTTTCTGGTTTAAGAATTTAGGAATTCTAAGAATCTTGGCCAAGGAATCGTTGGGTCAGAGACGAGGAGCAATCGGCGAATCTTGAGCTCAGAATCAAGAAGCGAATCAAGAAAACCCATGTTTGATTTCACTAAAAACGTCCATCAATCTCAGAGGAAGCTTGATTTCACTGGTGTTCT